GAAATCAATAAATTCTTACAAAACCGCAAAAATGGAAGTGAAAATTGTTGGTAGATATGAAATGCGATGATTGAGTGTCCACTTGATAGATATGAAGATAGTGAAGTAATAAACAACGGTCATAATGGTGGTAATAGTAAACTAATTGCTAGTGTTTCTGACATGGTTCACTACTGTCGAAAGCGTATTATTTCCCAACTATGCTCTTTGATTCTATAAATGACACTGAGGGAGGATTCTAATGAAGTTGACCAGATGTTCAAGAATTGAACTGTTAATTGACTTACATTCTCACCTTAACAACTGTGCAGGATAGTACTCAGAGATACGTTTGGCGAGTCCGAATTTTGGGTGGCCTAAATAACTAGCTCCATAGAAGCAAAGTGAATTTGTAGACACAGACTGACGTGGCAACTTGTTCTTAACACAGAAGTTGAATGAATGATTATATTGATAACAGTAATGAAAGTAGAAATGAATGTTCATCACCTCATACTACTTGTTGATTTATAAGTAGTAAAAATCTTAGACAATGTAGAGAAGTGATGTGAAGGCGATCGATTATGCAGTCTCATAGGTGGAATTCCCGATAAGTGGTTCCACTGTATTCCATACAGCTTTTTATTTTAGAAACTAGTCCATATATATATATATATATATATATATATATATATATATTTACTTTAGGCAACTTATGGGAATGTTTACCACTTGACACTTGATGAAGCAAATGTGAAACAACATGACCGTATTGAAAGACAATTTAAGTGTTTCTAACTCCTCGAGTGTATCTTATTCGCGTATAAGTTATTCACTCCAATTTCAAGTGATTTTAAAGATCAACCTAGTAACTACACTAATCATCAATTAGCTTTCGTTATTTCACCCGGAAAGGTAGTTTTTTTTATTCACCATTCAAAACACAGAACTCTAATTGACTAAGCTGGCCCTTAGAATCATTCCTGATTTCACTAATGAATCATGGATAAACAATGAATCGTATGATACTTTCAGAAGTAAACAAAACAGTTCACTTTGCAGGTGTTAAAAGGCTTAACACAACTATCTGCATAAGAAATCAGATGATGGACTTGTATGAATGATATCCAGGTGAGTAAGGACAGAAGTGATGCTAATATAATAAACTGTTCAACAAAGAAATGGTTTGTATTTGAACTACGAGGTGTATATTGCAGTCCTTTATGAATCCTTGTGTGATAGAATATATCTGACAAAAGTGTCTTTCTAATGGAAAACAGGAAAGATAGTATGGTAGACAGTAAATATCATAGACCTATTGAAGAACTGAATGTATATGAATTAATGGAACCGCCATAGTTAAATCAGTTTCAGTTGTATAGATAAAGTAGAGGACATGAATGGAGCACATCTATATGTTCAACAATGTGAGGGAGTCATAGGTCTAGGCTACTGATGAGTTTCGTACTAGGATGAAAGTTACTATCTAGTGGTCTCAGGTTTTCAGTGATTATCTGACATTCATGTCATTCCATGACGAATACCAACTGAAAACCAAAAGACGAATCCCCGCAGACCTTTTCAGTGTGGGATCGGAAGACGGTGACTAACGGCACTGACTTATCTTATTCCATGGAAATAGATGGTTTCTATGAAGTTTCAGCTTGTTTAAACAACACTATCAACCTGCAATCAATAAATTGAATGTACTTGACAAAGCAGTGGAAACCAGGATGTGCGCTTCGTCCGAAATGGGGTTCGTCGGCTGGATGTACCTATCATCTCGGTGAGTGATTTTGTCCCCACTCCGACTCAAACTTCGTACCCATTACCATTATAAATATTCAGGCAATATCAAGGCATCCAGATAGGAGCCCATGTACCAATAGAGGTCGAACAGTTCGATCCAGTAAACAACAGAGAATTACAAGTACATCAACAAGTGGTAATAACTAATACCCGTTGCACAAGAGGTGGCTGTCGTGCCCCGATGGGCTAGTAGATAACTTTGAAAGTGATGAGTAGGAGGTCCGAGTCTCAGTGGGAACATCACTCTTCATTGGGGTGCCAGTACGTCCAGCTGACGAGTCTCACTCAGGACGAAACGGGCATTCGGGATTCCTCTGCTAGCCGAAACCAAGTAAATTGCCATAATAAGTATTCAGGGATCCAGATAGGTCATATACCAGTAGAAGTCGGACTATTCGACCCAGTAAAACAATGGAGAACTACAGGCATATTAACAAAGAGATACCTGTTGTGTTGCTCAGCATGATAAGATTTACCTTTAACTAGTAATATCTTATTAATCTCATGATTTCTGAGCATATCACAGTACCACTGGAATGGGAGAAGAGAAACCACCTTAATGTAAATAGTGAGTCGCACCTACGCAACTCCATAGAACAAGTGGCTGAATTCAGCTGTTGTGCTGTGGAGTGTCACTGGGCAATGTGCAGGGATGTGTAGTTTGGTGGCGTGCAAAGTTGTCGCACGCTATGCTGCGTTTTGTTTCGAAGCTTGTATCATGAAATGTGATACGCTGTAGTGTGTGTCACTGTGCTTTGTAGGTATGTGTTGAAAAGTGATGCGAATATCTACGGAGATATCTGGACTAAGGACTCTGAGTACGTTGTTGCCGATCAGCACGGGTGGATGCCAACATGTTAACCAAACTTGTAGAACTAAAGTAATCGACCGATGCCATAGTAGATTATTTAGCTAGTTTAAATGCTGATTTATTTGTTTTAAACCTAGTAGTATTTTTGGTGCCAAGAAGTTGAACTATAGGTTATCCTTCTTTTAGGAAGTTGTTGTGACACTGGCAAGATCCGACCCTAAAAGGCAACTCTCAGGTGGACACGCAACACCTTTTCATAGTGGGCAATGAAGTAGGTGACGTGTTGATATCTGAAGCTTGTGCAACCAAGCACAACCACGAGGTAACAAGATTTTGCATCTGGGCGCAACCCCTCCCACAGTGATGGTGAACGGCCCAAACCTCCGTCTACATTCCTTTGGTGAATTTTAAACTACACGGAAAAATGTACAAGGGGGAGTCGATATAAGAGAAAGATACAATTGTCATCGTCCATATTCAAATGGTATCTGATAATTCGCATTTCTACTCATGGGAAATAGGAGAAACAGTATCAGTAAAGGATAAAGGTAAAACTGTGCGACACACACCAAGTATGCAGTGATGGACGAAATAAAACAGTGGACACTAGTGTTTTCCGAAACATTTTTCGTACTGCAGAAAACGGTAAGCAAACATGAGTGAAATCATGTTAACACTAATCAGACCTTCCTTCGCTTCAAAACCTTAGATGATAAGGTGATGAAGTCTTTTAGGTCGGTGATCACGTCAACGAATACGTGTAGATGACACTTTATCATTGCTGCCAGTGATTTCTTTGTTGGTAAAATCACTATCTTTTTGTAGAGAGTATTTCATTTTCTGAAGCACTGATTGAGCTGATAATGCTAATGTGAGGAAGGTTAGGTCATCATCAATACAAGCTGTTGGAAGTGTGACAGACTTTCTGCTGGTGCTCGTTTGTGTACGAAGCCTTAAGAGAGAAATAAGAAACTGTTCTCCACGTGAAATACAATACCTACAGTTCATATCGTATTCCATTTAGTTTATTTATTCAAAATATCATACACTGAAGGAACAGTATCATTCACCGGATAATTTGTTGTCCATTGTCACATCAGGTAACTCCAAAACTTCGAGACAGAGTTTATATATTCCTAATTTTCTCTCCTTCTTTGTGATGACAAGGGTAGTAAACTTTTCCATATATCTGAGACAGGTGCAGAATCACTCCTGTTACTGCATGTATTTGATGTTGATTCGATAAACAAAGATTCCGTTATCAATTTCTCGTTAGAACTTACCAACACATCCCATTGCTACTCCTTTCGGTTTATACTGATTCGTTTGGATGCCTTTCTCACATATGGATGCCGTTCAGATATTTCAACATCTCAGACACCAGGTCCTACATAGATTCCTTTTTGTATATGTCTACATCGCTGGTTCAGACGAAACAGACTACATGAATAATCTCAAAGCCGCCTTCGCAAAACTTGACAACTATGGGATTATGATTAACCACGATAAATACGAGTTTTGAAAAAGCTTATTGAAATTCTTAGGACATTCAACCGATAAACAGGGTATAAGATCAGTTCTAGACGAAGTACAATTTATATAAAACTATTCACTAACAGACTAGTTTGAGAAACTACGCTGTTTCCTAGGCCTAGTCAACCTTCACTGTTGTTTCATTTCGAAATGTACCTCTATTCCATAACCATTATCTGATTGTTTATGTGGACGTTTCCGCTCTCTCCACCTGTCTACAGAAGTAATTCAATCGTTCAAAAAAGTTAAACAGCTGCTTAGTGAGATAGCAATACTCTTCAGGAGAGACGTGAACACTCCACTATCACTCATGACAGACGCCCCCAATATCACTACTGGAGCAGTTTTACAATAGGGGTTAAATAGAAAATGGCGACTGCCAGCATTTTCCCTCAAAACGCTTGAATCTAACTCAATATCGCTACAGCACATTTCAAAGACACTTTCCAATTGTATACCTAGGTAGTAAGCATTTCAGGCACATGTTGGAACGCACTAGTTCTACAGTTTCCACAGACCACAAAGCCTTGAGTAAACCTTATCAGCTAAACAAGACATCTATTTATCCATGTGAAATACAATACCAACAGTTCATATCACAGTTCTCTTCTGGTATTCACCACAATAAAGGTACCATAAATGAAGTTGTCAAGTATATATACATTAACAACGTGTTGTATCCAGATATTGATTACAGTTATAAAATGATGAATTGAAATCGGAGAAATTAATGTCTACGAGAACGACTTCTTTAGTTTTCTCCGAAGTTTACTTTAGCGCTGTCACACTTAGACAGGAATCCAGAATCATAAAAATTTTCATTATAAAAATTCAATGTCAAAGTTTTACTGAAATGTTAGAAAAGGGATAACATTCATAATAACTTTATTATAAAAAAATATAGAATCTGAACGTGAAGTATGAAACTTTATACCCCAGTAGAACCATAACCATTTGAGCCACGTTCTGTCTCTTCCAGTGATTCACACTCCACTAACTCCGGATAGAAAATACGCTCGCAGATTAGCTGTGCTATACGATCACCTTTCTTGATCTGAAATGTGACAAAAACAATGCATGTGAGAACAAATAAGGTTAACTAATTATCACGAGGAAACCAAAAAAATTGACTTACAATAAAAACAACCTGGAATCAGAGAGCTACAAGGACTCCCTCAGTAATATACTCATCCCAAAGTGACTCTGAAGGTGGTATAACAGGTATAGTTAAGGGACAATGTTGAAATATGAATCGTATCTTATTCTAAGCGGTTTGTACTTCATGCCGCATATGTATGGATTGTGAAGGAGTAGGGTCATAACAAAGAGTGTTTAAACCAACTTTCAAGACAAGATCACAATAATTGGATATTAGTCCAAGTTTCTAGATACTTCATCATCATCATCATCGACATAAGAACGGGCATTACTGCGTAACGGCCCAAGTTGTCACACCTCAATATCAGCACATCACGTAACAACAAGGCAATAAAAGATGAAGAAGCAAGTAGGAAGTGGTAAAAGAGAGGAAGAAAGAATGAAATGAAACTAAGTGTAGCGGCTAAGATGAGGATAACGTGTGTATGCATCTGAGTCACCGACATCGATCCTGAGCCATATCACCTAGAATCTTCAACTACCGGTTCCTCTTGCCCTGCGGACCCCAACCAGCTAGTCTGCATCGTCCCACATGGTTTAAACAAACAGCCAAGGACTTCACGCATTGATGCCATGTCTTAGTCTGGCCCCTCTGAGCCTTTTTCAAGCCTGAACCTACTTCAGCCAACATTGTGCAACGAGGCAGACGGTGGTTAGGCATACGTCATGACTACCGCGTACTCTCCAAAAGAATCGAGACAAGATGAAAGCAAAACATTGAAAGATTAGGGCATAGAAACGGCCTTGAGAAATGGGAATTAAAGTTCTATGAACATGTTTCCCCTTATGAAGAGCAAAATAAAAACAAATTCATAACAATAAGACATAATTTTACTTCACAAGTTCCTTTTTAGCTGCTTGCATCGATCGATTAATAGACGAGGATTGTTTTTCAGAGCAAAGCAACTTTACTTAGTTGGTTGGGAGATGATGAGCTATTGAGAATCGAGAACTACTTGAAGGAAAATGAAAATTCTTGAAGATTCATAACGAAATACAGTAAGACCAAATACCATTTATAAGCTGGAAAAAAAGCAGTTAGACCTCGAATTCACAAGTGATAGATGATAATGTGGAAACAAGAAACGCATTAGTCGGAATATATCTTAGACCTAGGTTAGTTTTTGTGTTTTCCACGTTTATTGGTGCAGTCAAAAATTAAAATGTATCCCTCTTACGTTAACACTAATTCCGTGAACTAATCCACTTGTATTTGCCAAAGGAGGTACGTCCTAACAGAAACAAGTGCCTACCTCGGCTTTTTAAAACATAATTATAAAAGCATGAGAACAAGAGGATTCAGCAGGGTAAATGCTAGGCATTTCATAGATACAAGACACTAAGTAGATAGATGCTTAAAGGTTTTTACAAAACTATCAACAAAAAGTATGATTCTAGTCTCATTCATTCTTCCAAAGTTAACGACCTAAGAAAGTTGGAACCAGATTCATGCTTGGAAACCTAGGTGGGACTTGACCTTTTACAACACCGCCAGCTCATGAAAAAAAACTATTCTCGTATACCATGACAACATATCTCACTAAATTCATTATTGCTAGGACACTTTCTAAATTCACACCTAAGAGATATTCCATTCAGTTTTGGTCTTGGGGCTAAACTTACAACCTGTGGATTACAGTTTTACGATCCCACTTTACCTACTGAAGTTTGAGCACCCAGGTAGTATAACTAATCCGTATGCAATGAGTGTGGTTCATTGCCTATTGCACAAACGTGTAAATTGTTGCTGAATGTTTTACAATTTTTGACCCAAAATAGAAATCCCGAGTCATTGCCTACCTCGATGTCCCACGGTAGGGAGAAGTTGGATTAGGTTTGAGGAGGGTTCGAAGTAGCCAAACCAAGACCTGGTAACAGTTTGAGCCATGTAGGGAGGACGCAGACTATCAAGTTGGAATCACCGAGACACAAGGAATCAATGGTTGAGGACACTTGGTGATATGGCTGAAAACTGGTCACAGTAGCACAGATGTATTTCGCTGGTTGATGCCTTTTAAAGCTTGAATACCAGCACTAACCTTTAACTCCAGATTGCTTATTCTTTCATATAACTGTGATATCACTCTTCTTTTACCAGCCTGTTCTTTGCATACTACTGTGAAGTGTGGTAACTTAAACCGATGCACTTATGCGCGAGGTTTTACGTTGATTCTGTCTGAAATACGCATATCCGTTGCGTAATAAGATTTTGTGAAGCTCCTGGAAGTAAGTTTTGTACACAAGTAGCTATCTTGCTTCATACTCTAGTAGTATCACATCATTTCGCTTTCAAATTGAACAAAATGACAAGGTACCCTCTACCAGGTCCCGCCTTAAGTACTTAAAGTTTGACGGGATTACAATAAAAGCTTAACAAAAAGTAGTTATCGTATAAGTTCAACATGCAATGTCATTATAAGATTAGAATTAGCGGATAGCACTGAAGATGACAAAGCATGTTAAGATATCGAATAGATTATTACTGAGTTATATGAACTAAAGTTCACATTTGGCGTTCTTACGATGAGGAGTTGTGAGGCCAAGCGATAATAAGTGACGATTGAGAAGGTTCAACCAGAGTGATTCAAAGAGGGCAATCGAAGAAAACTGATAAACAGTGGAGTTTGTAGTGTCTTGAACCAGTAAAAACCGACCCTATTTATAGAATTTACAGTGACCTTTGACGTCAAAGGGTAATTGGTTCATTTTAGAGTGGTACGGAACCTCACCGAGTTAACTAGTTCACTAGTTACTAGCCGGTCCTAAGCCCAGATAAACAGGGAAGGTTGAGCATACGGCTAGCAACCCTACCCCGTAAAACCAATCCGATCGCTAGAGAAACTTCAGAGCACAAAGAAAACACAAAAAATAAAAATAAACTTGTTCCCAGCTGGAATCGGGGAGATGAAATGATGCCAGTTGGCCGATGTGTCTTTTCTCGATGAAAGCGAAAGTAAACATAGGGACATGGAATGTCCACACAATGTTTGAACCTAGAAAGGCTGCCCAGATTCCAAAAGAGATGAGAAGGTATGGTATAGATGTGCTAGGAATCTGCCAAAGCAGATGGAATGGAAGTGGATTCTCCAAACTCTTAACTGGACAGTCAGTAATCAACTCCGATATTGTCACCCAGACGATAACCACTAGCACACTGAGTTTTCGAGTGGCTATCATGATGTCCCCAAGGCATCGAAGACTCTCATACAGTGGGAACCAGACTCCTCCTGCAAGATCAGGATTATGACAGCAAGATTCAACTCAATACAAAGGAAGTCACAATCATACAATGCTACGCTACTCTACGCACCTACAAATAATGCAGATGAAGAGAAGGAGGAATTCTACAGACAACTGCAATCGATACTCGACAAGACTCCACCCAGGTAGGCGACATCAAAATTCTAATGGGTAGGGTGACGTGAATGCCAAACTGGGAGCAGACAACACAGGAAGAGAAATGTCATGGGTCGAGAAGCGTTTATTGATTTGGTCATTGGAGGCGGTGTGTATAAACACAAGGATATTCACAAAGCGATAAACTCCAAAAGAAGGCAGGTCTAAGGCTTTGCAAGAACTGGCGCCGAATCATACTCCTGTCCACACCAAGCAAAATATTAAGCCGCATCATCTTGGCGAGACTAAAACATGCGCTGGATTCAAAATTACGACCGGAATAGGCTGCTGGCGTCAAACAAACAAAAATCATGTGTGGATCAAATTGAAACGCTACGCCACACATCATCATAGAACAGAGCATAGAATGCCAGTCAACTCAACTCAACCTCATCGACTTTGAAAAGGCCTTCAATAGCGTCGACCAAAAAGTAATTTGCCATCTACTTCAACACTACGGTTTTAGTCCCACAAACCTTTATCAACCTCATTCAACAACTATATGCTATGTTATATGATGCTACATGCTAAGTGATTCACAATGGAAAGCTCAGTGATGCCTTTGGAGTGGAAATGAAGACAGGAGTAAGACAATACAAGGTTTCAGTCTACTATCACCGATGATCTCCATGATCATGATCGACTGGACTGGACTAGATCATACAAGAAACTGTGAGGAGCGAGAAGACTGGCATTCGTTGGCTGGACCGATGAAAAGACCCCAGAAGATTATTTGGATTTCGTCGATGATGATGATTTATCTAATATCTTGTCGTACAAACTCGAAGATCTACAGGCGAAAACCCACAAGTTGACAGTGGAGGCGAGGCAGCGAAGAAGGCACTCCCTTCAGGTGAACATAGGGAAAACAGAGATGGTGAAGATACCCAACCAACAACAACAACAACGAGAAGCACCAATCACCATCAACAGAAGAAATCTAAAGGAAGTTCTCTTTCACCTACCTAGGCAAGGCAGCGTCGTCTCAACTATAGGCAGCGGCACAGATGAGGATGTCAAAACTATGATCGGGAAGACAGCAAGACGGGCCCTCAACCTGAAATCAGTGTGGAGATCTACTGTACTGCACTAAGTATAAAGCGTGAACAACATCCGGATTTCAACACTAATATCAGTCAAGTCGGTGCTCCATTTGGGTCCAGTAGGCAAAACTTAGTTCGGTGGATTTCATCCAGCTAACTCCTGACCAATATGAAGTGATTGAAGAATAAACGGTTTCAGAGACTGTGGCATTACCACTTTGTCACCGAACATCAGGTAACTATCAACTGCACAAGGCGACTCATTTCGTAGAGCAGTGGTTTTAATTCGCCAAAGATAGTGAGATTCGGCCATCAGGTGAGTTAAATCTATAGTGTATTGTAATACTGGACCATCGGGCATGGACTGTTTGATAATATCGCTAGTCACTGGAAGTGCTCGAACCCCGTTGACCAGGCTTTGAAAAACACAGCCTTTTGCTAAAATGTGAGCGAGCATCGCATCTTCGTTACATGTCAAGTAATGGCTGATGAGACAAGAAAGAACGCCCGCTTGTCGTAATTTTTCAGTTTAACTGCTTTATGTATCAAAATCATACCCAAGAGGAATCGAAGCCCATCGTGATCTATCAGAATAAGTGTTCGCTCGAAAAGAAAAAAAGATAGTACAATGATAACTTCTAAACCTACATGTAAAAGAACGTTCATCAAAGCACTAGTACATGAATCTTAAGCACGAATGGATATATGTCGGCATACAAGAAGTGTAGGTGATCACATAATCACCAAACTGAAGCTGAACTTTTTTTTTAAAAAGTGAAAATGTAACTTAAACATTACTTATTCTCCAAAGAGAACAACAATGCTCAAACTTAGCACCAAGACGAAGACACTTTAAGGGAAAAATTATCAACAGATGTTTCGTTGCCATAGCCAGAACTCTCAAAGAGTCAAATCATAAACTTATTACACAACAAAATACGATAACAATATCAAATAGCTAACAACTTACTTCAAAATCCTGTTCACCAAAATTGAAAAGTACAACACCCAAATTACCACGATAATCTTGGTCGATAACACCAGCACCAACATCAATTCCATTTTTCAAGGCTAAACCACTTCTTGGAGCAACACGACCATAGCATCCATCAGGTAGTTCAATCTATTTATAAGGGGACAAACAGAAACATAAGAATGACAGAATGTCAGATTATTGCGACCTCAAGTATACGTTAAAGACAAAGTGGAAGGAGAAAAGTTGCAGTTAAAAACTGGATGGGAAATGAAAGTGAATGACCCGGTTCAAAAATTACATCCATACCAAAATAGTAACATCAAGAGTATGTAGAGCAATATTATTGATTTGGTGGGGTGAGCCAAGCTCATTATGTAAGTGTTTACAATACTACTGCATTGCACCCAGGTGAAGCCAAGATCGAACCCTAAAACCACTGATCGAAAGTCAAGTGTACAAGGCAGTGAGTGAGTGAGCCACATCACTTTCTTCTACATTTCAATAATGAAAGAAACAACCGGCAGGAAGATCACTAGTAGTTCTAATTCTGAGGAATCTTCGACGACGTTTCTGGTTACCGGATAGTGCGATCTCTGAATCGTGTCACAGTCATGATACTAGTCCAACACAACTATCGTTTATTCCACATTGGCATATAATGAGGTGACTCCTTTCTGTTTTGTTCAAACACAGGGACAGTACTGTACTATATAAATAATCACTGTTATTTATTTCCATTGCATTGACAATAGTTGACCGATAGCCGCTACCCTGACGTAGTGGTCAGACTTGCATACCACAGTGGGTCAAAAAGCTATGCTGGTGGAACGCTTGTTTCCTCGAGGTCCTATCATGACAGAAGGATCTGTTGGATAATGGTAAGACGAAAAGGAGTTGCCGTTGTAGTGGGAATTACTACATCATGATGGGGGTCTGAGGACGAAGTCGTACTGCAGTTAGCTGGATGAAGTGTGACAGAAATGTGTTCCCGTTGGATGACCAGCAGTGCCACGCTGATGGTGTCTTTCCGATGGGAAGGGAGAGTTATAAGAGGTCGATCACCAAAATAGCAAACCCCAACGCGTTGCGGCATACCAATGCTTGCAACAGGGATTCTTAATCGGATTCAAAAGTAAAAACCAAAATCTCAAAACTGCCGAAAGACCGTATGTGATAGGCCTCAAGTAAACGCCCTATAGGGTCTGCGATCACATATTTTCTTTTCTTTCTCAAGTACCTTAAGAGATAGCCTTCCACGGTGTAGGCAGTCGGGAAGTGTTAATCTCCGACACGCTCCCAGTAGTACACAAGACCAAACCAAACATAACCTATTCTGGTATTATTGCTTGTATTACAAACCTATTCTCCCCAACATTGTCTCCTTCTTCGTCTTCACCTCCTGACACTAGTATTAAACTTCTTATGCCTTACCCAACTTCTCACTCTGCAATCATTGCCAACGACCAGTCATCGAAACTTCATTCCTAGTCTCCTAAGACTCTGACGTCGATATCATGTAGGAGCTTCCATCGTTTCAACTCGATGCCAAGTCGGACAGCAAGCATCGCTCGTCAGAACTCTGGAATCTCAAGACATGGATGTATGCTGTCTCTGAGACACATATACAGGACCCGAGTGTGGTTATTAAATTGACCATCTGGTAAGTGCGGTGAATCTTCAAAATCCACCTTACGAGTACTCGGAGACCCAGTGGCTAGCTTTCATGGACTTGCTGGTGTAGGCAGAGCATTGAGCTGTAGGGCAGGAAGAGCGCTTCTGAAAGGAACACCAGTCAACAACCGTCTATATACTGTTTGACTGAATAGATCTGTAAGGATCAGGAAGGGTCGTGAGACTAGGCGATGCCTATTCATAATTCTCGCCTACGCACCCGCCGACTGCAGTTTGGATGACGCAAAGAATGAGTTCTGTGCTAAGCTGTTAATTTTGTTAGAGAAAGCAAAACGTTCAGATATAGTCACAATGGTAGGTGACTTTAACTCGTAAGTCGGGAAGATGAGCCAACTAGAAAGGCATCTTGCGATTTTTACGGAATCGTATCCCAACGAACCCATAACAATGATCGCCTCCTGCAGTTTTGTCGTGGCAACCACTTGTTTCTGGCCAGTACTAACTTTATGCATAAGGAGAGTCTCACATGGCGTCCGCCGACATCGAACTAATGATGAACACAGATAAATCACATTGTTATGAGCTATCGTTGGAGGATTGCTGCTCATTATGGAGTACCAGTTTGGACTCCGACCACGCGCTAGTACGGATTCGTGTATCTGCGCCTAATTGGTTGAGGGGAACAGGAAGCAGTGAGGTTTATCTGTGCTTCATTGGTAGATGAGGATGCCAAGTAAGCATTTAGAGAGGAGTTAGTTAAGTGTTATCTGAGAGTGGTCGCAATGCTCATTCTGAGAAAACCTAGCATGATATTACGTCTGCCGTAGAAACAGCGTTTAAGACAACTGGTAACCTACACCCGAAGGTAAGTAGACGTCACTGGATTTCCGCGACGTCATCCGAACTGATTGAGAGAAGACTGATTCCAGCTGCCTCTGACCATGACGAAGAGTGAAAGTAACTTAAACTTATGTTGAACAAGAGTCCTTGCATCGACCACGAGTAGTGGTAGGTAGCGAAAGCGAGACAGATGGAGAAAGCATTAGCGTTGGGTAAAACTTGGATATCGGGAAGAAGACGAGAGTGAGTGAAACCACAACCGAAAAGAATGATACTCTGATAACTTTCCAGGATAGGAGGCTAGAACGTTGGGTAGAAACATAGTTCAAAAGGTCCTCAGCAACGCTTCAGTTGCCCAACATTCAGCCTGAACCTGAATGGAACGCATATATCGGTCCTCCGACTCCTTGAAGTTGAAAAAGCTGTGTCGAAACTGAAATGATGCAAAGCAGCAGGATCGGATAGTTTGCCACCTGAAGTTTTCAAGGATGAAGGTAGAAATTTGGTAATTAAAGTGACGGAGGTACTACGTAGTGTGCAAGAACCAGGCGTAGTGCTGTCAGGCTGGTGCATTTCACTGACCGTCTGTCTATAAGAAGGAGTGATCTAATGACAACCACATGGAAATTAGCTTGACTAACATTGTATCCAGTACCTAGGATTCATAGTTATCCAACGCCTAACTGGAGCTCGATAACATCAAACTCGAGAAAGCGGAGAGGTTCCACATTTAGACGAGGGTGTGTCGACCGCATTTCTACCCTCCGATAGGTTCTGAAACACAAGCATAAAAACCAGAGGCCGAGACTTGCAATATTTCTTGACCCCAAGGTGGTTTTTGACTCAGTGGACCGTGAGGTGTTGTGGCGGTGCGTATGACTGTGAAGGGAGTACTGAGCAAGTATATAACACTAATCAAAACTCTCTACTCGAAATCACGCAGTCACATCAGGGCTTTTGGAGTTGTCATGTGAGTTGACGACAGCCAGTGATGTCTACCAGAGATACCCACTGTCACCATTCCTATTTAACTTGGCCACAGACGACGTCCTGATGAACATAACCTTAGATACTTCTGACTTCACAGGGATTGACCTACTCCCTGGAGGTCATCCAGTTAACTTGCAATATGCAGACGATATTGTCCTGCTAAATGAAGACGCTGACAAGATGCAGGGTCTACTAAATGTGTTGAGCGGAAATCTATGTGTTTGGTACGCGTTCTACTCGCACCTGTGAAGTGCAAGATGGTGTTCCAAGACCGGTCTGCAACTACTCCCAGTATAATGATAGAAGGTTGGATAAGTGTGAATGGGCTATTTGCTGACGAAATACCAGCTGGGATACAGAAGGCCCACTTGGCATTTGTCAACTTGCATCATCTGTGGCACAGACTGGTGAAATACGTGACTCTATCAAGGGACAAGTATACTGCGCTGCAGTCTGTTCTGTCGTGTTGTATGGCTGTGACACACGACCATTAAAAGTAGATAACATGGGGCGGTTGCAAAGTTTTTATCACAGGTGTCTTCGTAGCATTGCTCGCACGTGATGGAATCACTGTATGAGCAATGCTGAGGTCAGATGCAGAGAACTAAGCAAGACAGGGAAGTCGATTGATGAAGTTGTGAACCTTAGTCAACTAAGATGGGTTGGACATGTACTTCGCATGCCAAGCCACCGCCCACCTCGACGTGCAATACTGATCGAAATCGGATTAGGGTTCAAGGTCACCAGACCAAGACGTGGCACCAGTGTTCGATAATGCCCCTGACTGCTGGTCTGAGCCGTGTGGGGTCTGCAAGACCACAGGAAGCAGTGGTTGAGGACTCTTGGTGACACGGCTGAAAATTGGTCACGGTGGCACAGATATATTTGCTGCTTGACGTCTTCTAAAGCCAGAACACCGACAATAACCTTTATCTTTAGACTGTTTATTCTTTTATATAACTTTTCCTACGTTGACATAACTTATTCTATCCACCTGTTTTTTGTATACTGTGAAGTGTTGCAACTTGAGTCGACGCACTTGTGTGCGAGGTTCTGCGTTGATTTTATCAGTCACGATTGATAACAATACAAGCAATACTACTGATTAGTAGTACCATCTTTCTATCTGTTTGGCGGGTTAGTTCAACTCCTGAAAATTCCACTATTACTAACTACAATACAATCATCTATCACAAAGTTTTTTGGACACTAGAAAGACGTCTAAGTCGCCGAATTAAGTGTCCCGACATGATGTCAGTTACTGAGTGGATCCTCCATTATGTTATGCTGGATCTTGCAACTAAGTATGTGGTGTCCCCGTCGGATGAGACATCTTACGGTGACAGAAGTGGCCGGTGAATTACCAGATATCTACAGATAGAAGCCACGCCTTAGATGAGTAGTACTCGCATCAAAGTACTGTACACCCGACCTAATTCGTCAGACTAAATATGATGGGATCAAAAACGACCAAAGCGGTATGCATGGCTCTTGATTCTGATATAGCGGGAAAACCCTAACCAAAAGCTTCCATTAGGAAAAAGCCCTTTCCTACTGACCTGTATATCTGTTTTAACCAAACCCCTGCCTCCAACAGGTATGGTAGTATCTTGTGCGGAATAAAGATCGTAACCGGCAGCAAAAGCTGATCCACGAGTAGGAGGTGTAGCTTGATCGGATAACTTTTTGAATCGCAAACACACCGTGTTAGTTGATAAGCCGTTCTCGATCTTTGAACGCTTGGTTTCAGACGGCAAAGATTCTGCTACGGCTGACATGTCTATAAGAAAAAAAACAAGGAATAATCAGTGCTGTGAGACGAATTTAGATACGTAACTGGTGACACCACAAAAAACAGCAAAACAACATAGTACAGGTTGGGATACCTAAGAATACAAAATTCTAGGAAAATCTCAAAAGACGTTAACCAATAGTGAAGAAATACTGCAGCCCATTGCCTGTGGGATTTACACATCCGTACAAAACAGATTCCTGTAAAACATAGAGTATTTTCGTATCATAAACAAAAAGACCTCAGTGGATATAGGTCCTCATACATTTCGCCAAACTATAATTGTTTAGTTTTATCTGAATGCCATAAAGTTGCTAAAGACCAGGAAAGGAGCAGGACAAGATGGAATTCCTCCAGAAGCATTGAAGACAGACGCAGAGAAACCAGCAGCGTACATGCTCACAACACTACAGCAGAAAGTTTGGAATGAAGGAAGGGTAGGTACCTGCCGATTGATTGGAAGAAAGGCTACCTTGCAAACTCCAAAAGAAGGCAGGTCTAAGGCTTTGCAAGAACTGGCGCCGAATCATACTCCTGTCCACACCAAGCAAAATATTAAGCCGCATCATCTTGGCGAGACTAAAACATGCGCTGGATTCAAAATTACGACCGGAATAGGCTGCTGGCGTCAAACAAACAAAAATCATGTGTGGATCAAATTGAAACGCTACGCCACACATCATCATAGAACAGAGCATAGAATGCCAGTCAACTCAACTCAACCTCATCGACTTTGAAAAGGCCTTCAATAGCGTCGACCAAAAAGTAATTTGCCATCTACTTCAACACTACGGTTTTAGTCCCACAAACCTTTATCAACCTCATTCAACAACTATATGCTATGTTATATGATGCTACATGCTAAGTGATTCACAATGGAAAACTCAGTGATGCCTTTGGAGTGGAAATGAAGACAGGAGTAAGACAATACAAGGTTCAGTCTACTATCACCGATGATCTCCATGATCATGATCGACTGGACTGGACTAGATCATACAAGAAACTGTGAGGAGCGAGAAGACTGGCATTCGTTGGCTGGACCGATGAAAAGACCCCAGAAGATTATTTGGATTTCGTCGATGATGATGATTTATCTAATATCTTGTCGTACAAACTCAAAGATCTACAGGCGAAAACCCACAAGTTGACAGTAGAGGCGAGGCAGCGAAGAAGGCACTCCCTTCAGGTGAACATAGGGAAAACAGAGATGGTGAAGATACCCAACCAACAACAACAACAACGAGAAGCACCAATCACCATCAACAGAAGAAATCTAAAGGAAGTTCTCTTTCACCTACCTAGGCAAGGCAGCGTCGTCTCAACTATAGGCAGCGGCACAGATGAGGATGTCAAAACTATGATCGGGAAGACAGCAAGACGGGCCCTCAACCTGAAATCAGTGTGGAGATCTACTGTACTGCACTAAGTATAAAGCGTGAACAACATCCGGATTTTCAACACTAATATCAGTCAAGTCAATGCTTTTATATGTTTCAGAGGCTTGGTGCGTTACGAAAGCATTTTCAACAAACTATACACATTCATTAACAGCTGCCGCCTACGCTCACTCGATACTGACACTGAAGATCAGATGGTCAGAGTAGAATAATAAGATTGAGCAACAAGGAGCTCTGGCTGGCTAGCAAAGAAGCAACCAACCCAACGCCCAACAAATATGCAGAAGCAGAAAGTGGAAACGGATTGGACTGGACATACACTGAGAAGACCATTTGGGGATATCATGCTCCAGGGTAGGCCGTTAAGTGGAAGCCGAATGGGAAACTATGAACTTGGCATGCGAGGGTGACGAGGTGGGCGTGTGAAGAAATAAAAGCTAAAGGGCAGTCGTGGAGCTAGGTTCATAAGACTGCAGATAAGAAAGTGAAATGACCACGTGCTACTGAAACCCTATGTTTCACTAGGAACCCAAGGGATAAATAAACAATAATAATGATGATAATATTATGCCTAATGAAATTGGAGGAAAAATGTCAACACATCACAGATAGATTTCCTGATGTGACAAAAAGAACACCCGAACATGTTGCGAGTGACCTTTAGAGTCAAATTTACTTAACTTTACCCCTTTGTGTATCATATTGCTACAAAACCTCAGCTGACGCCATCAACCACTGAGGAGAGTGAATCCTCGAGAGATAAGTTTGATATGAACTATAGGAAACAGTAGATACTAATGAAACCAAGACTACGACCACACCTACCAACACACCTTTGAAATCGAAAACTGGCGGTAAAAAGCAATGTCATGTAAACTTAATGAAGTGTGGCTGACCTCAGTGGTCAATATTTCGTTCAAGTGATCTGTGAGATAAATATTTTTGGCAGAAATTTCATTTAGTCTCTTCATTTAGTGAGGTGGTTTTTAAGTAAATAGTTAAATTTTCTATGCAGCATGTTGAGTTGGTGACTGCGTTACATTGGGCATGTCACTACTAGCCTACTGTTTATCAGTTTACTTGTAGTAGTTGTCTGGGGTATCTTCATTCTGTGTAGGTAAGCTATGTTTTCATAATGTGAATCAATAATGAATCGAGTGCATTCTGTAAAATATTCCGTTGCCAACACCTAACATTTGCTTGGCGTGCAGTGAAAACGTAGTTGGATGGCTGAAATAAGATGGTAAGTACGTTCATATATATTTGTATCCCCTAGTTGCCTTTTTATTCTACTGTTAGTCTTATTATTTATCATGTAGACCTACGGTAGGCAGTGTGCAGTCATCTAATAGCATTTTCATTCACATGAGGAATGAGTTCGTGTATGCATCATAGCCTTCGCGTTTAACAGTAGAAATGTTGTATGTAAGCTACAGGACAATATAATGTCGGCAGCAATCTTGGCAGACGTGTGTTTTCTGATCACCCCTACTCAGTAAAGGGTAACAAAAATGCAGTGGATCCGCTGTCAACCTGTCAGCTACCTATCAGCAACAAGGAGCTGAGCATTCATACGGACGTTGGGGAGTTGAAATGAATGAGCTCCGAAGAGCTGACGTGTGAGAGTCAAGATGGTTGCTTTCAAAGCAATGTACGACAATACAAGTGGCCCGTGATGATGGGGTCGGAAGTACAATATCATAACAAGAAGTTTAGAAAGACATGTGTGGATTTTGTGGGTGTAATCCCATAAAAACTGCCACTTGTGGTTGAGAAGGACGACGGCTGCCATTACATTTCCTGACTCTCCACGCGGAAGCCAGGCAAATTGAAACTGTCTTTGTGCCGAGAAGGTTTCGGATTCCCATACTGATTCCAAGAAAACCGTTTACGTCACGCAATGTTAGGCTTGTTTAACTCAATCCAGGGGCAGTAAAACTTGTTGGTTCTCTGAATAATACGAAGGACAGACAAGTTTTATTCTCCTTGGGTTAACTCAATCGCGCATAACCTTGTACGATGTGAACGATAATCTTGGAATAGATAGGGAGTCACCAATGGTCCTGTGCCCTGGCAAAGTTGCAAGGGCGTCCATGACAGATGCACCGTAAAAATCACATATGACAGAGTAAACTGACAGGGACATCTCTGTGGAACCCTGTGGGTGAATAACCGGGTATTGTGCCTACTGATGGGATGGAAGAGTAACAGTTCACTTAGTGTACAGGGACCGACAGTTTCCACGCTAACTCCGATGTAGAAAATCTTCTAGCTGAGTTCCAAAATAACTTATTTTGAGCAGTAGAAGCCCATTCACATTTGTTTGCTTGATTTTTCGAAGGTCTTTAACAGAATGAACCAGGATATTCTGTGTAAGAAACCTTGGCATATAATCGTACAATGAAAGTCACTAAGTTGCCTTGGAGATTATCTTTACTTTAGGTGTCTGTATTTTAGAGTCGGCTGCTTTGTATCTAGTTGGTCCGCGAAGCCGGGTGGTGTACCCCATGGCTATATTCTTGTTCCACCACTGTTTCTTGCTTTTATCGATAATCTCCTGTGGCCCAGTCAGACGAGCCTGTACAATCAAGAAAATACCTTCCGAACAAAAGATTATCACTCGGTGGTTCTCACCTTATATGCTGCTCTAACGGAAACCTCTAAGTGTGCAAGTACAGGCCAAAAAAAGATATTTCTCGGTGCACCATCTATGAAGAGAACCGAAGACCATAACAGCCAGATAGTCCAGATAAAAAGAAGCTCCAGCATGTGGCACTTCCGAGTTACGGTAGCAGTTACATCAAAAGAGGGAAATTTTCACACCCACTTGGTAAACTCTCCGGCTTTCGTTATTCTGGTGTGGCTGGAAGATATTCTTCAGTGGCTAACTCCGTAGTTGTGACCTTTTCATTGAAGATTGCCAACGTACCATTTTATTCGAGGCTTGCACAAAAAATTGAGTCCAAAGTGCCGGGTAGAAATAAGCAATGGTTTGCGCCGAATTACCCTCACAGAAATGTATGTCTTTCAACCGGCACGCCCAACATGACTACTGAAGCTCAAGGACCATCTGCTTCCACAATGTCCCGGGTCACCCGGCTTTCATAAGATCCACCGCACGCTCAGCTGGTTGGGACCTACGGAGTTCTATGGGCTGCCGTTTGTCATTTGCTTTCGTTACACAGCTTGCGATTTCTTCAGGAGACTAGGGTTTCTCTTGAGGGTTGAGGGTGGTACCGTTTTGAGTACTTCCATAACAGCTGTCCATGCCACTTGAAAGTTGCTCGACAGAATGAATTCTGGAGTGAGAACGGCTAGCTGTCTGAGCAGTGGCACTCGCTCTTACCGTCATTGCTTTTAAAATTGGATTTGGTGCTTGATGCCTCAAGACAGTTGAGCCCCAGGTCTTTTACCGTAGACACTTTGGTGATCGCATGGCTGCTCAGCTGGCACTCTTATTCACACATCGTTGCTTAATGCATCCTGACGTGCCCTACCTCGCACTTTCCGGGAAGAGACTTGGGCCATGTCTTGACGACCGGTGTTCTGGTTGGTGCAGGTCTTTATCTAGCGCTCCTCGATTAATCTCTTCGCCTACCATCCAGGAATATTAATCAGTCTAGCGAACAGAAGGATAGGTGGAGAATGGATTGTGGGGGATCTTTGACGAGCAGCAGGAACAGAAGTGGCCTCAGGATTGCTACCTGCTATACCCCGATACCAATGGCCTTCAACTGGGCGGCATTCCCTTGCGTTGAACGCAACTGTCTGCCCTCCAGATAAAATTCGAATCGAGAAGGTAAGGGTTCAATTTCGCTCCCTTACGTGATATTTTGGGTCAGGATTCTGTACAAGACGCTTTTACTGGGTCGAAAATCACAGGGACGTCTCGGCTAAAGTTCCGGTTGTCCCGACAGGTCAGAAAGTAGAGCATGAATATCAACTCTAGAAGCCATGTATATTACTGTGAAAAGTGTTCCTTATGTTGAAAAACTGCAGGATCTCATCTGCTAACAGGTTTCTAATACTTTAGACAGTACGCGAAGTAAGGTAGTCGATGGGTATTTTCCAGAGCTTTCCCTGTCTTTTGTCCTCAAAATTGGTGGCGAAATGACCCTCATCCACTCTCCAGGGGGTCTGATTAGCTTCGAAGAGTGTCTCAGGACGGCTCTTCTGGACTGTCGGCCTCAGTTCGTGAAAACCAAGGAGCTCATCTGGCAATTTTCTCCCGATGAAGATGTTGCATAGGTATTCATCCCAACCAGTCAAGTCGTTGTAGTTCCTCACCTGTGGAGATCCGGTCTCCGAAACACTAAGCTATGCCTGGGAGCGCCAGCTCAGAAGCTTAACTGTTTCTAGGGTACTCAGTGGATTCCTATTCAGCCCACTATGAGAAAGGCATTTTACTGGTAGGTTTCTTTGCAACACGAAGCGATGTAGGTTTATCGGGTAACTTTGTAACCTTCTCCCCAGGTTTAACTAATAGATAAACTTGTTGCTGCTGACTACTACGTTTCATCATTTAGAATTTCTTTGTAATTCGGGAAGTTCGACCTCCTGTGTGATGAGTTCCACTGGAACCAGACCTACTTTGTAACCTGGAGTATTCTCCCTGTTCCGCACACTGGTTGCAATTTTCTCAGTGACTGTCAGTCTGGTAACTCTAGCATGCTTTGATGGGCGGCCCAGGGCATTATTTCTCTCACCTGCACAGCGTTCGTCTAACGTGACACGGTTTTTGCCCCAGTGTCATGATGCACTTATAAAGCAACCTCACCCAAAAGTTAAGGCTAACAGGGTGGGGAACCCTAAATGGTGCTAGTTTCACAATACCTACGGGGACAAAGACAGAAAATGCCGGAGGCACTGCAGTTGCAGCACGGACACAGGCTAGGGAGACTGTCACGCCAGCAAGCACTCACGGCAGCCGTAGCCCGCGAAAATAGCCGTTCGCTTTACGTCACAGATATAAAAACGAAAGTCCGCCTCCTCATCGACACCGGCGCAGAAGTTAGCGTTCTTCCCGCACCGACAAAGGAGCGTCATCATGACCCATCCTTCAATCTTCAGGCGGCCAGCGGCAGGGAGGGAGGAGCATTTGGGACATGGTATACCTGCCTCCACAAAGGTTTGGGTAAACCTGTCCACAGGATTTTTCTCCTGGCTGATATTTTCGTGCCCATCATTGGCATAGATTTGTTGAACCATTGCAATCCACTCGTCGATGCTCGTCATCGATGGCTGATAGATAACGACACAAAGTTATCTGTTGGCGGCACCATCTACGTAGGCACGAGTTTAGCCATCGTTAGAACTAAGCAATCAGGCGACGCTTCTTATCAGGTAGTTTTAGAGAAATATCCGGAGTTACAGCGACCGACGCATACTCCCCCGAGTATAACCAGCAATGTTATGCATTGAGTCACAAACACAGGTTCACCTGTAGCATCCAAGGCACGCCGTCCAGCCCCTGATAAGCTCAAAACGGCGGAAAGTGAATTCGACCACATGCCCGAACTGGGCTTTACCAAACCTCCAATAGTCCTTGGGTATCATCACTGCATATGGCTTCCGAAAAGGATAGCAACGACTGGCACCCAACCGGGGATTGCCGAAGGCTTAACGCCAAAACAACTCCGGACTGCTACCCGATACCTCACGCTTACGACTAGACTGCAACGTTATGTGGAATGAACACATTCTCCAAAATCGATCTGGTCAAAGTGTACAGTCAGATACTTATGGCAGCAGAAGATATCGTGAAAACGGCCATTATTACTCCTTTTGGCCTGCGTACGTCATTCGGTCCTTCGGAATGCAGCAAAAACACTCCAACGCTCTATGTATG